CCTCTGTTAATCTCCCGCTCGTCCAAGAAACCACATGCCTATTCGCTCGTATACCCCGCGCGCCCCCTCCGAGCTCGCCTGCCAGCTCGCCCGCATCTTGACCTGAGCACTCGCCTACATGGTCGCCCGTGCACCACCTACCCGCCCGACCGCCCGACTACTTCAAGTAGTGCAGAGCACCGGTCAGCCGAACTCGTGCGGATTCTGGGTACGGGAACGGGTCACCTTTGTGCGACCCGTTACCCGCACCATGCTCGCCACTCGCCAGCACCAGTCGTACGCGTAAGTACTGGGCGAGCCTATCCGGAGGTCCGTGGGAACCCCACGATGTCGGGACTAAATGGAATACCCTCCTGCTCCTGCTCCTCCACCGTGGCGTGACAGGAACACTCAAGCAGGCGCGACTCTCAGCCTCTCTCAGCCCTCGACTCTCACGCCGACCCTCCTCTTCAACCACCTGACTGTCTCGGTCCCTCGGCGGCGCCCCCAGCACCCCGACAACACACCCTGTGGGCCTGTCGTCAAGGGACTGGCCCGTGAAGTGGCACGCGCGACGCAGAAGCGCGTCCGCGTTGTACGGCCGGCACGCCCGAACATCGCGTCCAAGCGACCACAATGAGCTCCAGCGACGCGGAAAACCTGTTGCTGGAGCCAACGTCAAGCTAGAGGAGCAACGAGGGTACGAGGGTACGGCTAGTAGGGCCACAAAACAGGTGAGTGCCCTAATTGTCGGCTGCAGACCGCCAGCCCCACCATCTGCGAGCGCAGCCACGCCTTCCACGAGCCCCTCGCCACCATTCACGATCCCGGGCGCCCCGCGCACGGGCCCGTCGCGCCTGAACGCGCCGAGCACGAACACGGCAAGCAAGAGTCCGCCCCTCGCGGTCTCGACGGACCGCAGCCCACAGCCCGCCTTCCACGAGTCTGGGTGCACCGCGAACAAACACACCAAGTACCCGGCCCCGGTCATGTAGAGTCTACTTGACCCTCGCCTGCCCAGTCCCCATTCCTTGGTCAGCTCGGCCGTCATTTCGCCCCCTCGTCCGCTAGGTTGCCGATCTGCCCGCTCGCGCACCCGGCCCCTGCCCGCTTGCTCCACTGGTCCATTATGTCCAAGTGTGCGTTCAGTCACTCGTTCGCTCGATCGTTTAACTGCTCGCCTCAGGAGACCGGGGGGTATACGTGTTCGCGGCCCTATACGAAGCTTCATCGCATGGCGCCTGCTAAGTTGGGAAACCGGCCTGCGCGTCGCAGACAAACAGCCCACTTGTCGTGGCCGTATCTTGATGTCTCGCTTACGGACGAGTCGGGAGCCATACGTCTTGGTGGCCACACGTCGGGGCTAAGGGAGGATTGTCACTCGGGGGTCGTACACTGCTGGGTGGCCTCATAGCAATACGTCCGACACTATGCTTGTACTTTGGGCCCTGCTTGTACTTCCCCTCGAAGACGGCATCGATAAAACGAGGATATAGCTACCGTGAATTCAGTCGAAATTAAGGATAATATCACGATATCTTTACGGTGTCTATTGCCTAAAGCAGGAGTAACATTACCATAAATGGTAGGGTCTCAGAATATCTTTACGATGACTTTGAGCTTTCCGACATGCCTGTTACGTTTAACGATTAAGACAAATATCAGCGTAAGGGGGCCCAATGTTACCGTGATGTTATTCTGCGTCACAATATGTTTAGGATAACTGGACCAATGGTACCGTGATGTTACTGTGTGACAGACTCGTCACACTATCTTCAGGATAACCCTACGATTAAGCCACTCAAGTTATGTACATCTTGATCAGGATAACTTCACACTATCATGCCGTGACTTATGCTTAAGTTGGCTTCCCTATCTTCACCGTAACATCAGCATATCTCAGTGCAAGATATCCTGAGCTGCACCCTGTGTATACTCGATATACCAGAAGTCCCCGCTGCTCTCGACTTGACGCGCGTCCTCGTCTTCAGGGGATTTCTACAGGCCAGCGGGATCCTGAGGGTGCGTAGCTAGTGTCTTGGTAGGCAGTCAGAAGTGCGGGCTCTTGAGCTTGAGGTCGAGGTCAGTGCTGTCCCGGACGGAAAGGCTTCGTGAACGGTGACCGCTGACTGTATGTATGTGCCCGTCCCGTAGAAACGGGCCAGCCCGGTAATAGTCCTCGCTGTGAGCGAGCGCCCAAGTCGACCCATCGGATAAATGTCGGAGAAGGCCGCCGCCCTCTCGAGCCTCTTTCAGCGACGACCTCTGTCGCTTCTAGGACTGGGACGACTAAGTGTACTCTCCGCGAAGTCTGGGATGGCGTCAGAGCTGAACTGTCCTATGGATTGTGTGCAGTCAGTCCGTCTGCCAGCGCGCCGTCGACAACCTGTGTTCGTTGGTCAAGTTGTGCTCGAGCACGGTTCGCCTGTCCATTCACTCCTCACCGTGGCCTTTCCCCTACCTTGCTTGATCTTCGTCGACTCTCTTCCACCGCTCTCTTATATTGACCTGCTATACATTATTTATCAGATGAAGCTAGTGATCGGCAGCCGTTGCTGGTTGTTGTGGGAGCGTGCGGCGTCCACCCGAAGACCAATCCGCCTCCAATAGGTCTGTCACCGCATAGTCGTGCCCAATATGTTGTGATTGACCTTCCCCTCGTCGTCTCTGAATCGTTCTGTTGCAGATTGATACGTACGAGAGTGAGTACTACTGCGATGCCTGGCTGCTCAGCATCTTCGCAGCTTCATCCTCTGTTTCATGCATCTTGACGAGGAGCAACTCGGCACGCAGGAGCATGAAACTCTTCTTCGTCAAGTGCCTTATTGTCCTTTCTCTGTACGGAATCATCTCTGACGCGTCGTAGACTGGCTGCGTAACAGCACTCCCGTCCCACCGTTCACGCAACGTTCACGTGAAACAGCGCTACCTCATTGCAGGAAAGCTACAGTCTTCGCGCAGACGCTACCACCCACACCGTACGTCTTAGATTACTCATGTCTGCCACTTTCCTCTAGGGTTTCCGCCAACACCTTCACGTGTTGATCAGGTTCGTGGCAAACACTGTGAACGCCACCACGCCTGCATTCGACGTATGATACAGTCGCTGCAGGTAAGTCGTGTTTGTGCATGCCTGACGGGCCCGTCTGACATATTGACATGCACAGATACGGTCCGAGTTCGCCTCGTGTGGCTGATGTCTGGGGTGCCAAATAATGGTCGGTCCATATCAAGGCATGGATGGTATGTCGTCCGGTGCCGTTCAATGTAAATAACCAATGTTTCCAAAGTGCTTGAGAAGCTGGGCGCACGAGAGAAGTCTTTCAAGCGTGAGACACGTCCGTGTATGTCATTGTCATTCACGCCAGCGGGCTCTGCCAGTGCGTGCACAGGGATCAACAGAGGATACAACAGTGTTGATGTCACGCGAGGTGGTCGCGTGTTCTACGACTAAGTACTTATGTCGAGGAGATAGGGTAGGGCGCTCCGAAGCCGAATCAGGCGCACTGCATCCAAGAAGAGTGGTCCTCTGTCTTCGTCTCTCGTGCACTCGCCGCTTATTGAGCGTGAGTATTACGAGCATCGCCTTACACAGTATTCAGGGCATAGTGGTCATAGCGGGGTATTTTGGAATTGGCTGCGAAACCCGAAAAACACCTCGACTTCACGGCATCCACTAGAAGCAAGAAACCACTTCCGATATCGTGTGTTTCTGCTTGATGCTTCTACTGATACGCCACGCTGAGCTGGCGCTACGTAGGATCGATGTACATGTACATAATTCCTATCATTGCCTTCACCGTGCCTGCGTGCTCCCCGTCGTTCCGCTTTCCAGTCGTCCCAGTCCACACCAGGAATCATTGCATATCCCAGCGACGTACGTCTCCGCTCTCGCCGCCAAATACATACATTCATTGATGTCGTGCTTTTCTTATAGCGTCGCGAGCATAATATCAAACGGTCGTAAGCGACTGGCGATCCGACGACCCAGACGACGCATTTTGGCTTCGCTGGTAGCCAGTATACATATCGGAAATCAGGTAGTGTGTTATGCCTTTATGCTTGCTTCTGCAGAGCCGTGATCTGAGACGATGTCAGTAGTATACTAGTCTCTCTACCGTCGTGGATCTGCGTGGCCATTGCACACGGGGACGGATCCTTGAGACTGTGATCATTGCGATTGCGTGATCGTGCCGCTGTAGCGCACATCCATCTCGACGGAATGGACAAAGACGAGACCATGTAAGTGTCACTGTCCGGACGCGGGTAATATGTTCGCTTGACACATGTGGAATACAGTGCGGCTGCAACGTCCGAGGGTCCTTCTCAGGGACCTTCGATCCCGCGGCTTCCTCTGGAGGTCTGCGAACGGATCATCATCCACATAGCAATAGGAGTAAATCTATATTATGATTATTACTTCACGAGATGCGAGCCACATCTGACCACTCTCAATTCCTGCGCGCTCGTATGCCGAGACTGGTATTACCTGACGTGGTACTATCTTCGTCAGCGCATCTATCTCAAAGACCGGAATGATGTCCTCTCGCTTTCCAAGACACTCCGCCAAAGGCCGCTCCTCCATGAGGTTGTCCAACGTGTCATCATATCCGGTGCCTTACCTGGGGAACGCCAACCAATTCGCCACCTGGGGACGTTTGCTGCCATGCTCGCAGGCAAGGCAGCGAAGTTATCGGGGATCACCATTCGAGACGCGCAATGGACCACTGGCTCGGTCCGAATGGAGGACATCGGCTACCTGGCTGCGTTCAGCTCCATTGACACTCTGAGGATCTCCGATGTCACCTTGTCGAGCGTCGCCCAGCTCTCCCACCTCGTTTCAGCACTCCCACGGCTTAGGAATCTATGGTGCAACAATGTTGACTGCTTGCAGAAACAGCAAGTCTCCCTGGCCTCCCTCCCGCTGAACTGTGCAAATTTGGAGGATGTCTATGTGCTATGGGTTGCACCAGCAGTCGAGGACTTCTTCGTGTGGATCAGCCAGGCTTCTCGAGTGCGCGGTCTCGCTGTTGTGGTTGACAGCGACTTGGGTCCATCCTCGGCAGCGAGCAGAAGCCAAACTTTGCTCGATGCCAGTTCTACATCCGCAGAACTGGTTGTGCTCCATATTGTTCGCAGTTCTCCAGTTCGTGGTACAATTGACGCCACAGTCGGCAAGTCCTCTTAGTTCCGCCTCTCCCGTCACTTGGCTGATTGGTTCCACGCCTACAGAGCGACACTGTAACCTTTCACGGCACAAATATCTGCGGAATTTGAATATCTATCTGGACAACCACCTCGCAGCATGGCCGTGGATCCCGCATATCCTGTCTCGCATCACTTCGAAAGACTTTCAATTAATGTCTATTGTAGTTTGGCTTATGAACCGCACGGATGGCGACCTGAATGCCTTGCTGCGAAAATGGTGCAGGATGGTGTCTTGGGACAGCTGGACGACATACTGCAGGAGAAGTACTGTTCCAGGACCGTTACATCGTTCAGCGTCTGTCTATGCTTTGCATACCGTGACAGCAGTCGGAAACCTGGCAAACAGCTTTTGGGGACGGGTTCAACACCCCAGGAACAGTTTGATCGTTGGGACAGGCTCGTCAGGCAGAAGATGCCACGCTGTAATGGACGAGGTATACTGATGTAAGTAGTATTATGGACTGAATCAAGCTGCAGTGGAGAGCTGACTACCCTTTAGCACCAAACCGAGCTTCGACGAATACGCCAGCTGGGCGCGGCATAGTAAAGCATCGTTACGTCATAGAGTGCCCGTTGAACAGACCAATACTGGAGGAGAGGTGCAACCCGAGAGTCGACTCGGAGATGACGAGGGTCCTCAAGACACTGCGGATTGACATCCTCGAGATCCCGCATCGTCGCAGAATTGTTGCATGGAGTGCTGTGAGTACGGAGTCGTCATTATAATTACTGTCTCCTAATGTATTCTGTGATCTCAGGGTGCAGAGTGTCCGCCGCCGGAAAGCGGGTCCGACATTGCAGGCCTCAGGGATTCGCGCTCCCTCATGATTATAATAATGCATAATCATTTCTTGACAATTGGAGGACTGGCCAGAAGGTGATAGGCATGTCTTGTGCTCGAAATAGACAGTCGTTTGCTATGAAACAAGAGTCCGTTTACGGATTGTACCCAGAGCGTGAATATTACTCGTAGTCAAGTACTGCATACGTGCCGTAAGTCTCGCAACCACCAACCTGCACGTTCGTGCGTATCTTTGTCACAAACAACGAATACTGACATGGAGTCAGACGGACGAGTATTGGCGACCGATCGGAAAGTACTGGCAGTATCAGAGGTGGGTGCTGCATGCACGGAAAACGAGGAGAGCTACGCGGCGTCTGCCCAGATGACGGGGATACCCAACCACGACAAGAAATGGGGACCGCACCTGTGCCGGCTTCCTGAAAGCCTTCCGACGTGCCGCCATGCGGGCTACGCCACGCTACCGTGACAAGATCGCCCACCAGTTTTACCTTGACGGCCCCGGAGTCTATCACTCATGCTAATATAATCAACGACACAGTCGATCCAGAACGAGACACTACGTAGCGGAAAGCGATGTCAGTAGCCAGCATGGGAGCTCAGAAATCAGGCGTACCACGCGTCTCAGGCCTCGTCAGAGTGCCGTATATACTCGATTGACCGATGATCGCCGTTAACCCAAAGAGACGGCGGGTGGCGGAGTGCCGTGCAGCATCGCGTCTGTACATACTGGCTATATTGACGCGACGACCTGTCAGATTATGACCACAAGTCCTATCTTGCTTCAGGTAGAGCCAGGTCATCGAATGAATATACGTGCCATACCCAGACACCGCGACCGACGTGTTCGATACGAGTACTCATTGAGTATACCCGATATATATGCCGTTCGTCCGGAGGAGTAACACACGGTACTGTCCGAGTCAGTGAGCTGGACGTGCAGCAATCTCTGCAACCAAAAAACGCACATTTAGTTGGCATGATTCATGGACACTCGCCACTCTCGGTTCCGAATCGACGAACCATGATCTAGTCGGGAGAGAAGAGAGCGTAATCAATCGCTGACAGAGCATCAGTGTCGAGTTGGGGCAACACTAGTGAATTGACATCAATCGCGCGCAGGGTCCGATAGACTGAGACGTACGAATCAGTCACAGCGTCTTCCAGTCGAGAGTTTGCCTCGGATGACGTGTCTCACTGGTATTCTGCCACCAGTTAGCGGACAGTCCTATGCGCTTGATCAAGTTAGTGCAAAATGTCGCAGGCACGACGTGCAAGAAAAGAAATGGGCGCACCGGTGGACAAGCGCGTTGGCAGGTGTGACGACTGGGTGGATGAGCGGGCGAATGTTGAGTCAATACGTGATAATTTGTGACGAGACTGATGCTTTGAAAGACCGACCGCGTGGCACAGTACTCGCCCGACGAGACTGATCTATGGCTGGCCACTTCCGCCAGTTGTAGACGTTCTCTTCCTAGGACTCACTCGCGGCGAGTCGAAAACCAGGCCTCCGAGTCGGGTGCACTGGGATGAGGAGCTAAAGGGGGGCTGAGCATCACTGAACGCAAGGATTATAACGAAGGGGTGGACGACAATGAAATGGATGATGAGGTATGCGGCAGCGAGTATCGGTGGCCAGGTAGGAGGATGGTGTGCACGAGCGCACAGAGGCTTGTAACGGGTTACGTGCGTCGTAGGCGACTCGACGGTGACGTCGTGGTGTAAGCCATCCGAAACGGCCGTGCGCGCCGTAGCCTGCAGCGCAGTGCCCGGACGAGCACCGCTGCGTGCTCGGTAGCAGCGCGGCGCATCTCATGGTTGCCTAGTAGGCGTTGCGTGGCGGCGACCCTGCTCCGAATCCGGCTCGAGGCATCGTCGTCCGCTGTGGTCTCTCCCGTTCCGTCTTTCCGCAGCCTGTCCCAATCCTATCCTCGTTCCTGTACGGTTTCACAGCCGCCTCTCGCCTGCCTGATCCTCGCCTTTCTCTCTTCACACCCCTGCTTACCTGTCCACTACCTCGCCATCCGCGGTCGTGGAACCCGCTAGGACGAGGAGCTACGCGTCCGCCGGCAATCAATGAGACGAGCTGTGTAGATAACTTTAGGTGAAGCCTACCGAAACCACAATACACGCTCGCAAACCGCGGCGCGATCACTATGAGGGGCGTTACAGGACGACGTCGTGTAAGGGAGGTAGTGTTGGTCGAATTGCACGGCGAGTACGTACCGGATCGTTGAAAATTTTTAACCCGCGCGATCTACCACGTCCCTGCGCGCGTATTCAGCCTTGCGTGGCGGCGTTCAGCGATGAGTGGGAGATGGGAGGGCATCGGGACTGCGACACGGATCGGGGACGGCGTAGCACAAGTCGCGCGGCGTGTGACACAGCACGCAGCTTCAGACTTGCACGGGCTCACGTGGGACGCCAGTAGCTGTCGTCCAGGACAACCACAGGGCTGCAGGTTGTATGGATGGCGTGCGCGGTCGATCCCGGGCGATTTGGGACACATCGCGCAGAACATCGCCGCGCGCGTCGTCCTGCGCACGGAAGCGATCCGGACCACTCGGAGGTTCAGAGATGAGCGGAGGGTACCGTTGTACCGCTTTCGAGCTGGTAGGTGGGTGGATACACTGTAGGTACAGGGACGAGGGCAAGTCGGGGACGGCGCTTCCACAGGCGACTCGACTCGATAACTGAGTACGATATGCTCACCAGAGTGAAAACGTGCGTCTGCGAGCGCGGCAACGAAATTTGTTCGACGGACTCAGGTCGGTCGTCCGCATCGACCTGTCTAGGCGACGAGCACGGGAAGGGCACAGGGAAGGGGCACAGAGGGGAGAGACTACGTCGAAAGGGCAAACAGCGGAGCAGAAGACAGAGTGACAGACAGAGGGCGCGGAACGGTGCGCGGGAGCTGGAGAGGGCGCCGAGGTCAGCGGGGCATGGAGGAGCATAATAGCTAGGGTGTCGTTGGCCAGGCGGAGGACGGCAGATGGCGGAGGCCGAGGTTGCTTCAACTTGAGCTGCGACTGCCAGCAGATGCACGTACGGACGTGTCCCGCACCGACGAGACCATGGCAAGAGGGGGACGCGTCCACTTTCTGCTAGCTTGGCCGCTGGCAGCGACTGAGCCCGTCAGGCCGTCGATGACGTCTGTCCGTGCCGTCGAGATCGGCTCGGCCGTAGACGCCAGCGCGACGCGTCGAGCCGAGTCGCCGCGCGTTGGTAGCCGGTCAGCCACCGAGCAGTAGATCGGGCGGATCCGGGACTGGACCGTCAGTCGAGTGCCGTAGCAGCCAGCACGACGATTACGCCAGTCGTCTCACAATCCTCTCCTCCGATGCCGTAATTGGATGAGCCATGGTCGACTGACGAGCCTGCTGCCGAATCCCGGCCGATACAGTAAGACGCAAGACCGGACGGATTTCGTGAATAAGGCCAAGGGCGACCCCCAGCCAGCAGCATCACCTCCCTTGGGGGGCCTGGCAGCCCTCAGGCTTTGCATTTTATGCGCTGCACTAGGTGAGCATCTCCGTTGCTGCTTATTGACAACACTATTTCTGTGGTCCTTCATAGTTCCTTTGTCCGTTGACTCTTTCTTCCTGCCGTCCAATGCAAATGCGCCGCAAACGCGTGCTCCCAAGCCGTCGTGCGCAGAGTTAGCTCCTGGAAAAACAGCGAACGCCTCAACATCCACCACTCCCGCGTCGTACCAGCTCTCGTCACGTACTCAAGTCGGTCGGACGCGCTGCGCATAATTGCGATGACGAGCTCCTCGGCTACACTGAACCACGGCCAAGAGCAAATGCGGCATCCTCCTGTATTCGACGGACACCCAAAGGCGAGTCTCTCCGAACCGTACATGCAGTAGCGAGACTCGATTGACACGCGCTATCCCAAGCAGTGGCCGGTCCTCGCTGGCCAGTATGTCTCGCGAAGAACAGCAACCGCTTTTGCAACCAGCCGGCGCGGACATCCTCACCATCGCACCACCTGCTTCCGTCCGGGCAACACAGGACGGCCGACAGTCGTCACGCATCAAAGACCACCCTGCCCTGCCATTCCATGCGTGTGCCCATCCGCAGGCACTCCCGGACCGTGAACGTTTCCATCGTGGGCCGCGGCGACCTCGAAGACGGAGATCGCAGCCGTGCGAGAAGCCGGGATTTCAAGATGCTGTCTACAATCGCGAGGAGGCTAAGACTGTCGTCCCTGGCAGTGCGCGACTTACGAAGGGCGGGAAGGATTGGCGAGCAGCGAGGGATGATAGGCTGGACAGATGTCCACAATTGTGAGTAGCCCGAGTACTCGACGCTCAAGCCGAGCTGACGAGTTCCACAGGACACGTCATCGCGAGCAGCTGGTTAAGGCCGCGCACACGTTCTGGCGTGTTCCAACGCGTACTGGCGAGCTCGACCCACGCTTGCGATGTCGAGAAGGGAAGACTACCGCGACCGCAAGGAGTCTACTGACGACGGCCAGACGCTGCGCACGAGCAGAGATCGCGCGAAGTAGTCGAGCCAGGAGGTCAGTGATTGATAATCCTGACCGGGTGCACGCCAGGAGGTGAGTCTACGCGCGTTTTATGTCCGACTGGCCGGCCTGACGATGGTAGTGTTGACGGGTGGGCTGTACGCTCGGCACCGCAGAACTCGCAGACTAGATAGCTCGGCTCAAGGCAATCCGTCGATCGAGGAGGCTAGTACGTATTAAATTTTGACCCGTCATCCTGGTTGCTGATCCACTTTCCGTCGGTACCTCATAAGGACCCGACATCTCGTTTACGATAGGTCCCGGGGTCGTCAAGATGGAAGGCTATGTTTGAACTCGAAGGTGAGGAAAAACTACCATTGTACAGTGTCTTGTCCCTGTCGTGTAAAGCAGCGCGCAGGGCGCCACCGAAGGCTGTTCGGAGGCCGGTGAAGGTGCGATCCTCGCTTCTCGCAGTGTCATCTGCGCACACGTTGTGTGGTCTTGCGTGTATTCTGTAGATACAGGGTCGGTACTACCCCCTTTGGACGGACAGTGCTTGCTCGTACTGTCGGGTGTATCGCACGTCATCGATACTCAACTTACCTGTTTATGACTTAATGCCATGCGTTCAGCTGCTTGTAGCAACCATGAGGTTGTGGCTTGACTATGACGAAAGACAAGTGTCCTATTGACACCGTAGTACCTGAATACAATTGGATACACCCGTATCGACGAAACGCCGCTCCATGATGCATTGATGATCGAATGCCTGTCTGGAGCGTACAATACACATACCGCCGTTCGTCCAGTTCACCAAGAACAAAAATGCTACACCTGATCATGAGTGGATGTGAGTTCCCCGACACCAGCAACATCGCTAACCGCGTTGCGGCCGCGGGGGCATTATGTACCTTGGCATCGTGCTACCAATCAGCAGAGCGATATTGATGGTGATAGTTCTGTACTCACGGACTCCATATAACGGTACTAGCGAGGATGCAGAGTTGCAGGGATGTTAATCCGTGTCGCCTCCACCCTCGGACTCAGTGGGTTGCGCCTCTCCTTCGGCATTCGTCTGTTCACTGGTAGTTAGGATGCTAGCATGTATCCCTTCCATGCCCCCCTCCACTTGCGGTGTCCTTGGACGCCACGCACAGTGCTATGAAGAATAAGTACTCAATCTTTTTCCACATTTCGACTCAGTCTGTAGTTCCGTACGTACGTGAGTAGTATACCTCGCCCATGCGACTGTGGCATCTCCCGCCTGACGAGCTCGTCCCACCAATCGTACCGTTCACGCATCCCAGTAAGCTCACCGCCAGATCTCAATTTGTCGATGTCGTCGCGAATGCCTAGACAGACACCGTGCGCAACAATACCGGAGAAGCACTTCTCCTGCATGGTACTGTCCAATCGCGCCAGGACATCATCCTCTCCATTGTCGTCAGCATTTCGTCCAAATCATCGGCCATGTGGTCTGTCGAAGCACCGATATAACAGACAAAGCCAGGAAGTGTTTCGAGGGATGTGAGACAGGACATGCGGGATCCAGGCCATGCTGTGAAGGGGTGGTACAGCCAGATCTCCAACTTCCACAGGTGGTCATGGTGTGATAGATTGTAATGTCGCTCTGTAGGCATGAAACAATCAGCCAAGTGACTTGATAGAGGACTAAGAGGACTTTCCGACGAAGGCATCAGTTGAACCATCACAAACAGGAGAACTGGGATCAAGATAGAGCAAAACTGCCTTTTCAGATGTGGAACTCGCGTCCAGCAAAGTCTGGCTTCTGCTGACTGCCGAGGATGAATCCAGCCCGTCGTCCACTCCAATTCCGAGGATGCGCACTCGAGAAGCGCGGCTGATCTGCACGAAGAGGTCTTCGACCGCTGGTGCAACCCATCGCACATCGAGATCATTCAGAGTCGCGCAGTTCAGTGGGAGGGCGGCCGGGGAGACTTGCTGTTTCTGCACGCAGTCAATATTGTAGCACCATAAGGCCCTAAGCTGCGGGAGTGCTGAGACGAGGCGGGAGAGCTGGGCAACGTTCGTCAAGGTGACATTGACGACGTGTAGATCGCGAACGGAACTGAACGTAGCTAGGCAGCCGATGTCCTCCATTCGAACCGAGCCGATGGCCCACTCCGCGTCTTCAATGGTGATCGTCGACAGCCTCGGAAGCTTGCCCGCGAGCATGGCGGCAAACGTCCCCAGGTGCGGGATCGGTAGGTGTTCCCCGGGAGAGGCGCCCGATATGACGAGCTGTGGACGACCTCACGGAGGCGCGGTTTTGCGCGCAGTGTCTTGGAGAGCGAGGGGACATCCTTCCGGTCTCGCAGATGGATGCGTCGGCGCAGATGGTACCACGTCAGGGAGTACCAGTCTCGGCATACGAGCGCGCAGGATGTCAGAGTGTACCTATGAAGCTCGCCAATCAGAAAGGAATACGTGATATCCCATCCCGCAGCTATGTAGTCGATGATCCGTTCACAGATCTCCACAGGAAACCATGGGATCGCAAGCCCGTCAGATGAGCACTCGGATGCTGCGGCTGTCCTGTTTTCCACATGTGTAAGCCATGTTACCCGCGTCCGAACAGTAAGACTCACATTAATTCGATTCTGTCCATTCCGCCGAGATGGGATGTGCATTTGGCGACGTGACTCGCAGTCGCGCCGACCAAGTCTCAAGGGTTTGTGCACGAGTGGGGTGGCCACGCAGGTCCACGACGACGAAGACACGTTACTGGTCACATCGTCTCAGACCGCGGCTCTCCAAGAGTAAGCATAATGCGATACTACGTTACCTGATTTTCGGTTTGTTATTGGCTACCAGATAATCGAAGATGTGTTCTGTCGGTCGATTTTTTTTCGCGAGGAGCTGGCGACTGTTTGGACTCGCGACGCTATAAGGAAAGCACGAAGTCGGTAAGGATATCCATTGGCGAGAGCGGATGCGTACCTCGCGAGGACTTTCAATCGCTGTTGGTGTGCGCTGCGAAGACTCGAAGCGGACAAAGGGAGAGCACAGGGACAGCGAAGGCAATATCAGGAATTATACGTGCATCGATACAACATAGCGCTCACCGGTACATATAGAAACATCGACCACAGATGCAGGATGTCGGAAGTGGTTCTTTGCATTCAGTGGACGCCGTGAAGTCAAGGCTCTCCGCAGCCGACGCCAGAATGGCCCTGACCTGGATTATGCGTGAAACGGTACTCGCATTACTCACATGCAGTCCGCGGCGTGTGCACCGAAATTGCATAGAGAGGAGCACTTTCCCTGGCTGCAGCGCACCCAATTTTGGTGAGCTCGCGCGAGGCAGGCTGTCCGAACAGCGAGCTTATTGAATGGATGCTTGTCCATAATCAATGTGAACCACAAAAGATGTAAGATCGAGGGTGCGCAGGGTTCCGAACAGACGCGGGCCAGGACCGCATTTGATTCAGTACAGCGAGGGATATGGCGCACCGTGTCTCGTCTAAGCGGTCGCGTGTTCAACACAACACTCCCCTGCATGACCAGGAACATACAGGCCCTCATACCTGGTGAATACATACCCACCCCCGTCATGCATGGTGCCATCTCCTCGAGCACCGACACACTCGTAGAACACGCGACCACGCCACTTGACATCGCCGCTGTCGTGTCTTCGGCCCAGATCGAGCGGGATGTGAACGTTTATAAGGGGATCCAGTGAGGTCAAGGTTGGTGTTTGACGGAAGGAGCGGACGGGATGTAGTGAATGCGTACGGTGGCCGCATAGCGTAGTATCTACATCCAGGAAATACAACCTCAGCGAAGCCATACAAAATGGAGCGGCACCGGACGACATACCAGTACATCCGACATCGACTAAAGCGTCAAATTCGAAATTCGGGCAGAAATGCATCCGTACATACGCGTGTTCGGTGCATTCTAATACGTCAGACGGGTCTGCGGAGGTAACATACCTTGACCGACCGGACTATACGTCCAAAACAAGTGCAGCCACACCGAGTCTTCGGCCATGATCCCTTCGAACGCGTAAAGATGTTGCGCAGATAGGTCGGGAGTACGGCGTAACATCGTCCGCAGGCACGGTCGCGTTCGCCCACTCTTGTTAGTGAACCTTCCCATTCCGTGTACCATCGTCACGGCGCCCCCGTTCTCCGGCGGGTGTAAGCTGAATTGCAGTGTTTGCGCAACGTCGTGACTTTCCTACAAACAAACCACAGCTGCTTCGCGCCTGATAGTGAGACGGGACTGTCATGCAGCTAGCGTCAGCGATGGGGCCGCGCAGAGAAAGATAAAAACGCTTCAATCCATCTGCAACCGACTGATTCAGAACCATTATTGAGGGAAGGTCATGCCAGGGCACGACTATGTGAGGACAGACCTAGAGACGGATTGGTCTTCGGGTGGACGCCGCACGCTTGCAGAGCAACTAGCAGCGGTTACTAGCGTCTTCTGAAAATGTATAGCACCTCGACTGAGAGGGTCGAAGGGTCGCCAAGTGCTGGAAATGTCCCGGTGAAGCCAGGGAACGAATGGACAGACGGGTCGCAACCATGAACTTTATCTAGAGCACGAGCTGTCGACGGCCTCTCGCGCTGGCTGCCGTAGCCCGAGAATGTCGAGCGGATTGATCATGCGCAATCCGAGGGCAGCCGTCCTGGAGCAGGTCGTGCGAGTCCCAGAGATCGTCGCCGCAAGAGAGCGCACCAAGAGCACGCTCGCCGCTGCTGTCGACCCGCCCGCCTTCTCCGACGTTGTGCGATGGGTCGCCTGCCACGAACTCGCTGCCTGCTCGACGCTCGCCACTCGCCAGTTTGGTCATTAATATTGTTGTTTTCACCTCGCCGTGCACCGCCTACCGGACCCGGAAAGCGGAGGGCTCGGGAGGGAGTGCGCTGGCGGCGGTGACGTCGTGGCTCGTTGTGGTCGCGCGCGGCGGGCGGCGGGTGCGCGACGTCAGACAGCTGCCACTCCCAGTGACAGGCCAAGCGCCGACGTCGATCATGGCCCACCCGACTCGGATGTCTCCGGCAATTGCCCGAGGCGCGCAGTCGCCGCCAGTGGCCACAGCAAACGCGTCCTCCTTTTGTCGAGCGGAGTAGCCTGCGGAAGCGCCACCCCGACTTGCCGTACACTCACCTGTGCGGCTCGAAACGGTACCAAATCGTACCATCGAGCCGTATCTGAACCCTCCAAGCGGTCCAACTCGGGACGGCTTCCGCATGCGGGACGAAGCGTGCGGTGATGTTCTGTGCGCCGCACACCCAAAGCGCCCGGAATTGTCCCCCGCATGCCATAAGTATCAACAACTTTTACAGACGCCCCGTCCGCATGGTTGGCAGCTTCGCTGACAGGTATGTCGACCCGAGTTCCACGTCCGGTGCGTCGCTCACAACGTTATTGGAAGGTGTCTGGAAGCGAGGCAAGGACCTCGGGGACCCTAGTAATAGTTTGTGGCCTCGAGAGCTGTATGCTGAAACTGCTGACGCTCACGATCCCGCGCCGAAAACGGAAACCTGCCGGAGACGCAGAATGGCTTCCGCGCAGAGGCGGACGGCGTACGAACAACAATGCATTCGTGCTCAGCGCTCAGCGCTCAGGACGGCGATGGAAAAGGCCCGCGCGATGGGGTCGACCTGTCCGCCGGCATCGTGGCAACGAACCTCCGAGTCGAACAGCTCCGCCTCTCGCTCGTCTCGCACCTGAGGCCTGAGGCCTGAGGCTAGAGATGGCTGCTTGCGTCCGCCTCCGAATTGTGGCTGCGCGTCCTCGCAAGGTGCCGGTACTGGAACGGAGAGCTTATACCTCTCGATAGAGGTTCGCAAGCACTGACTCGCCATGTGCCGTCCCGTGGCGTCCGATCGCGTGTGCCGCCTGTTCCACGGGAACGGAGAGTGTGGAAACCATCGAGGACGAGGTCCACGTCTTGCTTCGAGAGTCGACGCAAGTCCCGCCGTCGTTATGACCGCGCGAGACGTTTTGCAAGATTAGGCAAGCCGGTTTTGAACCATGAAGAGAGGGCGAGACCGCCGGCTACTGACGACAGCAAGACACCGCGCACAAGCAGACACCGCGCGATGTAAGTAGTGAGTTATAGCGAGGAGGTCAGGGTTCGATAGTCCTGACCGGGTGAACACCGGAAGGTGAGTCCACGCCCATTACATTTCGTCGACTGACCGGCCTGACAATAGTACAGTGGGGATAAGTAGGCTGTCCGGACCAGCTGTCGCGCCGTGCTTCATCGCGGGCGACCAATGGTACGCGCGGGAGTCCCTGTTTCTTGAGAGACGTTCTGGCTGTGCGTACGTGTGCACCACCGTCGAGCGGCGGCGAGGGACGGACCTGCCGGGTAAGCCGACTGGGACGACCTGACACGAGAGGTGGGGGGACGCTACCGGAACGGTGACTATTTGGCTCGGACATGCGTCTTCCTCGACCGCAGGAGACGTTTTGCGAGCCCAAACGAGCCCGTATTGAACCACGACAGTGGCAGTCGCTGCCTGAGCGACTCGGGTGGCAACCACAGCGGCACTGACGGTGATGGACCTGCGATCGTGTGTACAGTGTACTTCATCATGGTCCCCTCGCCAACACTTAGCTTTCCCGTTTATGGTTCCACTGCATGTACCAAGCTGCTCGTGGTAAACATGGGGTTGCGTGTTGACTATGACGAATACAAGTGTACGTTTGACAGACGCAGTGCCCGAATACACTTGGACGCATCCAGCATCGACGAGACCCCGTTCCTTGACGATAAAATGTCTGTCTGGAGCACAATACAGACTGTCATCCGTGCAATTATGCAAGATCAATGTAATCATGAGTGGGTGTGAATGCCTTCCCCGACACCAGCGACATAGGCTCGACCCGCATTACGGCCGTGAGCCATTCTGTACCGTGAGGCCGCACAACGAATGAGCAGAGAGGCTTGATGATGATGGCTTTGTACTCACGGGCTCCATGCAACGGTACGACTGAGGATGTAGGGTTGCAAGGATGTTAATCCGTGTCGTCTCGAGGATCCTCGTCTTGCCCCTCGGCCCGAGGCACCTCCTCTCCAGTGGCATTTTTCTGTTTAGCTTGCATGATAGTACGTATCCTGCCCATGTTCAACTTCCAACAGGCAAATTCCTGAGAGGTATGCACAAGGCTTCGTGGGACATTCAGCTTTCCTTCGAAATTTGAGGAAGTCCATAGTAATACGTACCTCAATATGCCTCGTCCATGCGAGTGCGGCACTCTCCGCCTAACGAGCTCGTCCCAACGATCATATCGTTCTCGGAACGCCGAATTCAGAAGCTCGTCGTCAGATTCCCAAGTGCCGCTATCATAGGCAATGCCTAGACAGATGCCGCACGACGCAACAGTACTAGAGAAGCGCTTCTCTTGCAATACGCTGTCCAGCCGTCCCAAGACGCCATCCTGCTCCATTGTCGTCATCAGCGCGTCCAGGTCAATAGGCATGCGAGCCGACCGGAATATGAACACAACCGACATAGCCTGGAAGTGTTTCGAGACGACGCGAGACAGTATATGTGGGATCCAGGGCCATGCCGCGAAGGGGTGGTACAACCAGATGTCCAACCTCCATAGACGTTCGTGGCGTGAAAGATTGTAGTGTTGCTCTGTAGATATTAGATAATCAGGCAGGCGGCGAAAGAGTTGAAATGAGAAGACCTTCCGACTGTGGCATCAATTGCACCATCACGAACAGGAGAACTGGAATACATATAGAGCGCGACGACTTCTGCAGATGTGGAACTCGCATCCAGTAAATCTTGGCTTCTGCTGGCTGCTGATGAGGGATCCAACTCGTTGTCCACCCCAAGATCTAAAAGCTGCACTCGAGAAGCCCGGCTGATCTGCACGAAGAAGTCTTCGACTGCTGGTGCAACCCATCGCACATCGAGATCATTCAGAGTTGCACAGTTGAGTGGGAGGGAGGCCGGGGAGACGTGCTGTTTCTGCAAGCAGTCAATATTGTAGCACCACAAGGCCCTAAGCTGCGGGAGTGCTGAAACGAGGCGGGACAGCTGGGTAACACTCGGCAAGGTGACATTGCGGACGATCAGAGTGTCAACGAAGCTGAACGCAGCGAAGTAGCCGATGTCCTCTGTGCGCACCGAGCCGGTGGTCCACTCCGCATCTTCAATGCTGATCCTCGACAATCTCGGAGTCTTGCCCGCGAACATGGCGGCAAACGTCCCCAGGTGCGGGATTGCTCGATGTTCCCCAGGAGGGGCACCCGATAAGACGACCTGTTCAACGACCTCACGGAGGCGCGGTTTTGCGCGGAGTGTCCTGTAGAGCGAGAGAACATCCTTTCGGTCTCGCAGATGAATGCGTCGACGTAGATGGTACCACGTCAGGTAGTACCAGTCGTGGCATACGAGCGCGCAAGATGTGAGAGTGGACAGATTTGGCTCGCCCTTTGCAGCAGCATAACTGATATCCCATCCCGTCGCTATGTGGTCGATGGTCCGTTCACAGACCTCCACAGGAAGCCGCGGGACCGCATGGCCGTGGGAGGGGCCCTCGGGCGTTGCGGTTGTACTGTAGTTCACATCTGTAAACCATGGTACCCGCGTCCGGACAGTGACACATACATCGATTTGGCTCCGTCCATTCCGCTGAGATGCGCTATAGCAACGTGGTCACGCAGTCGCACCGATCAAACCCTGAAGGATTCATGCACGTTGCGATGACAACGCGAATCCACGACGATGAAGAATGACATCGTCTCAGACCGCTGCTCTCCAAGAGCAAGCATGGACATTACCTGCTTTCCGGTGTGTATACTGGCTACCAGGCAAGCCACTTCGCGTCGTCCGCGTCGTCGGGTTGCGAGTCGCTTACGACCGTCTACGCTCCCGACGCTGTGAGGAAAGCACGATGTCAGTAAGAACATGTGATGGCGAAAGCGGAGTCGTACCTCGTGAGGACTTTCAATAGCTCTTGGTGTGCGCTGCAAGAACTGGACGAAGGGGGAGAGCGCAAGGATAGCGAATGCAATGATAAGAGATGTACATGCATCGATACAACATAGCGGCGCGTATAGAAGTATTGAACATAGACACGCGTTGTCGGAAGCGCCGGTCCATTGCATTCAGTGGATGCCGTGAAGTCAAGGCATTACGCTGCCGCAGCCGATGCCGGGATAGACCTCTGGCCATCATTCTGTGAAGCAGTACTCGCATAACTCACATATAGTCCGCGACGAGTGCACGGAAATTGCATAGAGGGGACCGCTCTACCTGGATGCAGTACTCGCGCCTGATTCTGATGCGCGCGCGCGAGGCAGGCCCGACGCCGTCTAGAGAGTCGGGGGACTGCAGGTCGCCTCGGAAGCCGCCGAGGCCCGACTGAGGGGGCGCTACTCTCGGCCCATCCCCCGACTCGGAGGCCTGGGTTATGACACGCCGCGAGTACTCTCAAGGCAATGCCTACGACCGCTGCACAAGTAATGGGCCGCGCATGCTGCTGCGAGCGGAAGGGGAGGAGCTGACATAGTGAAGACAGCGATCGCGTACAACATGATCTCCTGTTGACAACCATCAGAGTCGCAGTCGCACGATGCACCCCCGAAGGATTTGAGGAGCCGTATGCCAGACTGGTCACAATCGTAGGGCTGGCACATCTGCAGCTGAATGACGGGGGATCAGCAAGGATTCCGTGGTAGACACACGGCGACATACCAAGATGTGGTAGATAGACAGACCACGGACCCCATCTCCGAACCGACGGGCCACGAGAAGACTTGCGGCACAGCCATCTCCTTGGGCTGCAGAGGTTATTGCTTTTCACTTCATTAGCTGAACGGAGGAAGGCAACATGTAAGAACGCGGTGCCAAGAAGCAGTGAGGAAGACGAACATGATGGAGCGAGCACCACTCGCATACGGTCAGACGCCTTGCTGATGGCCACTGGTGCTGCTTCACTAATACTCATCATCCACTCTCCGTCGCTTTGTCGCCTTCCCATCGCGCACGAGACTGTCGACGGCCTTTGGCGGACGAGCTTCCGATTCGCCATTCCCGCGTCTTTCATCATCCACCGCACCACGCCCAGCCCACTCCGCCAAAGCCGGCCGACGCAACGGGTCATATTCCTGCAGCACAAACGCGAACTCCCGTAGCGCCTCGCGCCCCTCCACCCCCGCCTCCGTGAGCCCGCTCGTGAACATCTCCAACACGCGCCCACACGCCCACCTGTCCGCGCGGACCGTGCTGTACGCGCACCCGTCCCCGACCTCCGGCGCCGTCCAGCCCTCCGACCCGCAGAAGCCCTCCACCGCGTCGTCCTCGCCCGTCACGTACACCGCGACGTCGAAGTCGATGATCTGCAGGCGGTAGTCCGCGGTGTACACCAGGTTCGACGGCTTCACGTTGCGGTGGGCGACGCCGTGCGTGTGGAGGAACGAGAGGCCGTTGATGAGGTCGTGCCCCAGCGGAACGAGTCGCCCGTGGAGGTCCGCGACCAGGCCAGTCTGGGGTTTCATGACTGGCCGCTGCTGCGGGAGCACGAGCCACGCGCCTTCCGGGGAGTGGATGGTCTCGAGCAGAGGGATGATGTGCGCGCTCGGAGGCTTCAGCTCGTGCAGGTAATCGAGAATGTCGTGCTCGTCGGAATCGCGGCCGACGTGCCTGGCGACGAAAGTCTGGCCGCGCGCTTTCGTGACGACGTACACGGTAGCTGGTTCCTGCAGGAGGTATTTCAGTGCTCTGAACGATGAAGTTGGGTTCCGGCTGTACCTCACTCGAGGAAGTAACGTCCCGCCGCTGTGTCCAGTCATCAAGGATCGTGTACCCCTTGGCGGTGAGCACACCATCTACATCATTGTTGGACTGAGTGTTCCCCTTCGTCTCCGCGGCGAACGCTGGATACTTCTGAGCATCCACTGTATTCGCGTACATGCTGAGCTCCCGCGATGCCTTAAACCGTCCGGGGTCCTCGTCCATCAGCGCAGACGCCAGGTTGTACATAGAGAAGACGAGGCGGAATCGGTCAATGCTGTTCGTCAAGTGGAAGACATCCTTCTTGTAGTAGACCTAGGGGAGCTCATCACTCGCTCGTTCACTACGACAGAAGTCGGCTCCTACCGTGTTTCCACGCTGGAATAGAAGGTAGCGATCGGCTTGGTGATAGTGGGAGAAGTAGACGGCTACAAGCACGAATTCCTTCTTGTCATGGAACTTGTTGACGAGGCGGACTATCGCAGCCCCTTGTACCAGCAATCGAGAAAGGCCGTCTACGCCCGCAGAACCGACCTCCGCGATCAATCGGGGGATGTCGTCCACAGAGATGAAAAAGTCGCTTTTCGGACGATGCGAGGTCCTCGTCTTTGTGCCTTCAGCTTCGACTTCGACCACCAGTGGGAAGGGCCATTGCTGGTCCCCGCTGTCGTCGATTGTCAGGAATATGTATATCCCTGGACACCGGTCACTCACAATCGAACATCGAGAGTGTGCATTCCTTGTGCGGCGAACCTTGTCTTGCACCATTGTGCGAAAGGAAATAAGTAAAACGCGTCTGCTGCGCGCTGCGTAAGACATTCGGCCGTGTCTTGGTAGCTGAGTGCGAAGAGTATGTGCGGCTCCTCCGAAACACTGTTTGCATTCCCCGGATCTCTAGAGGCGTCGTAGAACGTGTGAAACGGGCGGTCGTCGGAGGTAGGAAAAACCTGTGCGAGCCTTGCATGCACCTAGTTATGAGGTGAGCATTCTGTGACTAGGCATCGAGGCGCGCACTCACGGTTATGTTCAACGTACGCTTCTTCCCCAACGACGCCATGAACGTGTCGACAAAAGGGTACCCTGTTGTCGTCCCCGTCTCGCACACGTCGTTCCTACCGAGGTCTTCGTACTCAAAAATGGTGCGTTGACCGGCATTGACGAGGCATCCGTCATAAAA